CGTCGTGTACCGTCTTCCCCGTGTCGTATCCTTACGCGCGTCAAACGGCAAACATCGCGAGATGTGCAGATGGAGGGTTCTCGGTATCGGCGCGGAGTCCACGAAAATTTTCATCGTCTTTCAAGATACGTCCCGGTAAGTGCGAGATGAATCGCGTCAAAGGGCAAAGGGTGCGACACGGCAAAACATCTCGCATGATAGATCTGACATGTGGTATCTCTCGACGAGAGACGCTGATTCACGCGCGAAACGTGCGTGTTCATCGATCGTGGATCGTCAGAGAAGATGGATATGTACATACGGTAATGGATACAGCTCAAAGGGATATCCGTAAATTACATATACAAAGCGTACGTATTTGCGCAGGACGTACTTCAACGCGTGCGTGCCGTATACTATACTTTAGATGTCCGGGTATATTTTGATGCTCGCGTGAAAACCAATTCCTCCGTGATGAGAAATAAACGCCGCGAAACCGGTAAATGGTAAATATATAATATTATGTATCGAATTAATTGGGAAGGACCAACTGCCCGATGACTTTATCCGGCAACCGATTTTCGTAATTGGACTTGATCGGAATCTATTTTCGTCAAAGATCATTGATCCATCAGAGATCCACAAAATGATTCTCTCTCGACAATCGTTGAAAGAAGTTGGTAGCAATATAACAATTGAAGGGATAATTAATTTTACAGTTCAAGAATGTGTATATCTGAAGGATACGCAAGTTATCGAGATAAAAGATCTTGCAATGCCGTGTATCCTGCAATTAACAGAGGTAAAGCAATTTATCGCGTCTCCGCTAAGGATACGTCAGACAGGCATTCAATGTCAAAAATACCATCGGTGTGCTCCACCATCCCAGGGGAGAAAAGGGAGAAAGCTATCTCAAGATCTTAAATATCTTTATACACGATTCAGGAAGCATGGTTGCGTATATGAATGTAAATGAATTGAAATAGAAATTCCTTGAAGTTGAAATACCTGCAGAAAATCTCATGGTTCATAGACAACGTAACGATTGAATAAGCACAAACAATCTTTTCTGCAACGGAAGAAATCTTTCAAAGTTTTGTCCTTAATAGATAATAAAAATAAACTTATTATTAAGTTGAATGACATTAAATAATAAAGATATCGATAATCAGACTCTCGAAGACTTGATATTACAAATTTTTAAAAAAATATATATTAAAAAGTGTGTACACACGCGAGACTTAAAAAAGATGATACTTTTTTAAAGGAACGAGAATCCTTTTTAGGATCGGTTTAAAAATATGGAAATGTAAACTTGGAGTACGAGGGTGGCCGAGAATATGGCAAGAGCTAAGGAAAGAACAAGGCGCTAAAAGTATCCATCCTTTTGCTCCGCGAACCCGTATCGCGTGACAGTGTCCCGCTATTGGTGCGTATAGTGGTATGCAGTGGAAAGAAAAAAAAAATAGACCGGTCACAGGACCGTAATCGGGGGGCACCGGGCCCCGCCTCGTGCGTTCTTCTCTCTACCGTAATAAAGCCGCCGGAGATCCCCGCTCGCCGGTTGCTAGGTGGGTGTGTGAAACGTAAAGTCGACGATCTGACGTTTCTCCGGGCTCTCTCGGGCCGATGCACCGCAGATTGCGAGTATCCTTGCTGAGGTCGAACGCTGAGAGGCTCCGCCGAAGGTCGTTGCCTGCTCGATATACCCGGTGCTCGTCTAGGAATCCGCAACATCGGTCCGTTCGCTCGCTCTCTCGCTCGATTGCCGCGAGAGAGAGATTACGGAACTTTAATTTATTAAATACTATTCACCCTAATCAAAAAACCAATTCAATATATTGTTGAAATAATTTTCCATCTTGCATGAGCAAAGAATGCGATGCATGGTACAGAAAAAAGACTGTTAAAAAGTATTGAAAGTTATGTTAAAAGAATTATTGATTTTGAATTATTAATGTCGCCTTAACGTTAATACAGCAGAAAATTTTTTACTATTTACCATACTACTTTCTGCTATATTTTTATTGTGACTTTAATAAACTTTAATACATACATATAAATATGTGTGCATATATATAGAGTGGTCCGTAATTCGTGGTGTAACCGGCAAGAGGCTAATCCTTTATGAAAAGTCGAAATTGCAAAACAAAATTTCATTTTTTTAATTAAAAGTTTTTTTTTTTAGGAAATTTTCGAAGGGAAATATCGTGTCTCATTTTAATTTACATATCCTACGTTAAAGTGTGCACTGGACACTGTAAACAGAAAAGTAAATAGTGGTCTGTGTCGAGATGCGCTCAACAGCGTCTTAGTCAAGTGCACGCGTACTCAACTAATATTTAAAGTCAATTTGATCAAAAACAAAGCCCTATATGAAAAAGTTTCATTCTGCAATTTTGACTTATTTTTTTATGAAGAATCAGTCTCTTGCCAATTGTACCACGAATTGCGGACTATCCTATGTATATTTTGTATAATTAATAAATGAAGAAACAAACTTGACGCAGCATTATGTAATATCATTGATGTCTCTAATGATTATATTATTCGCCCGTAAATTTTATCAAAGTAAGTTAAATCTGCGATGTAAGCATTAATTTTCTATACAAATACATAACATAAGTGAGTTGTACATATAGTCTATACATTATATAATAACATCGAAATAATTAAGTAATAACATCGAATTATGCATTACACTCGTATATAAATGACATATACATCGCGGTGCAATATCAAGTAGAAAATTAATTTTATCATGCCATCACATTACTACCGAATAGCTTGTGTGTATCCACTTCCAAGGGTAACCAAGTTCGAGACTTCCTTTCGATTCTTGTCGAGGACGATCGATTTTTAAGGACGATGATTATCCATTTGATTACATTCATTGTCCGCGGAACTGGCAGGAAACTCGTCGATTACGGATACCCTTATTAGCGATCACCGTCAGCATTAATGATGGTTGTCCGCCAACACAGGCAACTACTGAAATCCGATCACTGATATCTGGAGAAGGACTTGTTCGCGAAAGAACTTAAATGCCTACGATGGGTTGAGGAAAAATGATGCAGGAGAAATCATAAATTAAACGGAAACTGTGTATATAAATGAGTCATTTTTTAAATGATAAAATCAGAAGTGGAAACGAGATTTATCCTTCGCAAAAAGAGATATTATGATGAAATATTAGATAACGTCGGGAATATAAAAATATAATTGATTGAGAGAAAGATTTTCAGCGATTGAGAAATAATACAACGTTTACTCATCACAAAATAAGACGCAATTTTTAGCGCTGTAGCAGAAAGATTGATCAAAGACGAAGATTATATTTAGTTTCTCGAAGAGAGGCGGACCTCCATGCTTCGTAAGGGAGATCCGAAGAAAGCACAATGGCGAAGGTAAAGTCCACGAAGGAACAGCGAGAATGTAAATTATATGTAGGTATTCCCTTTCTGGATATCTCGGACGAGCGAGACGGAATGGACGAGAGGAGAAGGAGCCGCGGTCCGGTTTTTGCTGGCGGGGTGCAAGGACAGGCGACGGCTGTTGCTGCTGCTGCAATATTGAAAGTGGCCAGAAGAGAAACGTGACCGCGTATTACTATACGCTCCTTGAAAAGATAGTAAAATGTAGACCCCGTCGTATAGATTGCGACATTCGCGGCATCGAAACACGGATACGCAGCGGTCGGCCGAACAATGGGCAGTGTTCTCACACATCTCGATTTAGCGTTTTGAACATTTAATGCGACCGTCGATTTGCGAATTTTCTTATCCTTAAAAGGGCTTACCCGTTTGAACTCTTGAAAAATGAGTACATTTTCTAGATTTTTTTGCAGCGCGACTTGATAAAAATTTTTAATTTTTTTACAATATTAATACAATATTATTAAATACTTAAATAAAAAAAAACTGTTTTTAAAAGTTATGCGAATATTTGCAGATTTATATTTTTATGCACGATGTGCATAAGATTCCGCATCTGTTAAGGAAGCCTTTTTTTAATCCATTTTTTTGTTATAAACGAAGAAAGATGGATTTTTTTTTAAACGAAACTTTTTCAATATGCCGCCATTTTCTTATTTTTTTAAATTTTGAAAAAATGCTTGGATAATAGATAGCTATTAATATGTTCAATGAAAAAAAAATTGTATTTTTAATTTCGAATTTGATAAACGAACGTTTTCATGTACAACGTGCAGCCACCTAAAATTGGATGAGCTCTGCAAATATTCGCATAACTAAAAAAAAAAAAAAAAAATTTTTTTTAAGCTGAAAATTTTTATTTAGATAGAAAGATAAATTGGTCACAATTAAATAAATGTGTTATTAAAGATAGAAATAATATTTCTCTCGCAATATTTATTTTCTGATTCATGATCTTCGCCTATCGCGAGAAATTTAGAACTGACACTGACACTTTCACGATTTCGTTGCCTTTGTTTCGCAGGACGACGGTGGTATAGAGTACTTTAACACCATCGTGGTGCAGCCACACCTGAAGCTGGTCACGAACCAGGGCAGAGGTTTCCACGTGAGATGTAGATACCAGACGCGCGACAAAGTCGTAACGAACGACCAGACCCATGTGTCCATGCTGCAATCTCTACCGTTGCAGGTAAGAAAATGTTCGCATGTAAGATATCCTTTTCTGAAAAAATTTTTATTAGACAAACTTACGCCAGCTAATTAAAACGTTTCATTATACGTCTCGTTCTATCGGTGAACTTTGATAAAACCAGTCTCGGTTAAATTATGCTTATAACTTTACAGTATTCGCGAAGTATTAATCTCTACATAAATATCTCCGTACAAATATCTGGATAAGCGAATGTAAATGAATGTGTAATGAATCAACGTGAAATATGTATATTTGAACTGCGATTTTCTGCCCACACAGGCGACCGCGCCGATGCCAGGATGCACGATGAAGATTTTTAGCGGTGATCCAACGCAGCATCACGTGGCGGAGAACGTGAAGATCGGCGATCCCTTGACCCTGGTCATTAGCATCGACAAACAAGAGATGTTCGGTCTGAAGATCTCCGATTGTCTAGTCCGTGACGGTCTCGGATGGGGTGAGCAACGACTGATAAACGACGAGGGGTAAGTCGAAGCAGTACGTGATACTGAAAGAATTTTAGATAAGACGGAAAATAGCGACGTGAGAAATGAAATAATCGGTTCATCGATTCTTTCTTTTTATTTGATCTATGTATTTGTTCGCAGTTGTCCAGTCGACGGCGAGATCATGGGACAGTTTACGTACAACGAGGACAAGACGGAGGCCAGGGTAAACTTCCAAGCGCACAAGTTCCCGTATACGGCGAGTGTGTATTATCAATGCAACGTTAGACTCTGCGTCAAGCATGGCGGAGGATGCAGTAATACGGTACATAATCATCTTTATGATACATAAACGCATTAGCTCTAGCTCGAATAATGACTCCATACAAAGATTATTAAGTACTATATTTATCCTTCTTTAATGACTTTATAATATTTACTTCGCTCTGCCACGATTATCCCGTTAAATTTGCCTAGTAAATACATTACATAAACGGATATGCGGAGAGCATTACGTAATATCTGACCCTGAAAAAAATATTCGAGTTTGATCGTTTCCTGGAGATTTATTGGAATAGGACATTTACTTATTCTCGATTTGCAGCCGCCGCTGTGCAATTCGATAGCTAGACGACGCAGGGATACTGCCAACGATAACGAGATGCAGGGTGTCGAAGGTCTGGACGGCACCCCGGCCACAATCGAGGTTTACAGCGGTTTGTACGTCAACGAAGCCTCGGACGTTAGTTCTAAATCGGACTTCACCGATGACGTCGTCAGAGAAAGGGTAACACAAAATAATAATCGCTTTCCGTTTCATTAAAAGTATCGATAATTTAAAATCGCACATTCTGTTTATTCTGGAATAGAAATTTGAATAAGAAAATTTTTTTAATGAAAGAAGATCAAGTTCATACATATATTTTACTATCTTTTGCGATTTTTTTCTTAGGCTATTGATGATCCAAACACCATTTGTATATCACAAAGGAGCTTCGCCATCGGGATCGCCATCGCCGGTCTCATACTCATGCTGGCAGTAGTGGCTGCCATTTTGGTACTGCTCGCAAAGAGACGGCACAAGAGCATCTCGACTACGGGATCATCCATTTACAGTGGACCGTACACAAACACTGCCTATAGCCACAGTAGTTAAATCCGTCTCGTTTGGCGTGGAATAAGCTTCATCCGAAGATCTGCGATTTTTCGTGGGATCTATATCTATATCTATACACGAAATGTCAGCGGATGATTAGTCCGATCGATGAAAATTAATTTAGATTAAGTTGTTTTCGACGCGAAGTCGATTCGAAGCGACAATCGAAGCCACTGCGCGCGATATATAGTAAAATGAAACGCGAATCTCTTGCTCAACTGCCCCGCTCTGTACTTCTTAATTCCACGTTACATATGATATTCTCAGCTAATAATAGCGGTGTTTCGAGATATCTGAGGAATTAACGATGGTGAGATCCTAAATATCTATAGCTTTTCTATCTCTCTTCTTTCACACCATCTCTACACCGTTCTTTCGAACGAGAAACTTTTACAACAGGGTCTCGATAATTCATGGATGTTTAATGAAGAATTTATATCCAAGTTCAAAATGATGCAATACTTGAATATGTAAGTATTGCATATTTGACACAATGTTATTAAAAATCGAAAAAAATATATAAAATATTTCTTACAATTAAAATAATAATATCTATCATAAGAAATATTATAAAAAATAAAACGTAATTATATTTTTAAACGAGAAAGATGTACATCAGTGCTTTTTTTACGCGAATGCATTATTAAGATTTGCTTGAAACAGGAATGCAGACATACTTCTCGTTTTAAGAATAATCTATTAGTCTTCACTAAACAAAAAAATCGTGTTACAAACGAAAAACGTTATGTTCCAGTATCAATTCCGTCCGTGTAATGAGTTGTATATTTTATATTAGCGAAACTCTTAATTCCAATTGCGATTGCTAACGAATCGATATGACTCATTCCCGTCAAGAGTTATTTAACTTTTATGTATATGTACGTGTATATATACACACATATACATATATATATATATATATACACGTAATAAACTATACTGTACACTAGTCCGGTATACGCTGTCCTACCTAACATACCCATCGCATTAAACACACAACACATGCGAAAGTATCATCCAATTGCGCGGTCGTTTCGATAATTTAATTTAATTGTTCGTATGTAAACTCATTTTAGTTAGATTTAAGTTTAAGTCAACATTTATTATTAGGTGTGAATTCTCAAATAATTCAATCAAATACTCCTATGATATGTTTTTCTTAACTTATCATTATTTGTCCGCGTGCAATCGTTGATATTTCAACCGATATTTTTGTGTTTTGCCTTAATGCAATTTCCAATTTAGCATTTTCCTGTAATGCAAATCATGGACGAGTTATTAAATCTACATGACTTAATACACTTAAATAAAAGTAATATTACTGCCGATCACGTAGTATATATTAATTCGATTTTCTTTAAATATAAAATTAACAATCAAATACGAAATTTTTTTTTAAATTGATTATCTTGACAAAAAGAATAGAACAAAGCAATAATAAAAATAATTTGCTAATTGATTGTATTTGTACACAATAGTGTTATTCACTTGAAAATATTTAACCATGATTGAAATGTGAAAGCGTAATTCAAAATACATTTACGATAAAGCCGTTAAAGAAAATAAAAATACACGTAACTAAGATTCGATAAGATGTGTATTTGTGCATTATAAGTTTCCAGTGAAACTATGTATAAATGGACTAATGTCGTAGAAATATTAAATACTTATCAAAATGAGACGATAGAAAGTCGATTAAAATCTAATTGTAAGATTATATATAAAAGGTCTATTCTATGCAAATTATTCTACGACGATGCGATATGTCGAATGAATGCGACGTACGTAAGCAATATAAAAAGATTTTAATCCATTATAACGCTTAAACATTAATATTAATTAGTTTAATTGAAACGAGATGTTGTGCTTCAATGTCGGTATTACAAATCCATTCGAAAATAACAAAGTAAGAACGACTACGAATTGTTTTCTAACGGTACATTTTCGAATGGTTCTGATCTAATCCAACTTGTCGGATTTAATTAATACTGAATAGCAAAAAAATGCACGTAAAACAAGAATACCGACATGTACCATCTTGAAGCGTTTAGATTTTAATTGACAAAGACAAGAAAAAAAAACTCTACTGCCAACGCAGTCGCGTAACTGGGTCCAACGTGGTGGTGGGTACATGACCATAAAATTTTACATTTTAGAGAGAAATCAACACGCGTAACGTAACTCGTTAACTTACGAAGCGCTAATACGCTAAACCGTTTCCGTGTAGGAGCGGATTGTTATGGTATAGTTCTCTGAAAACGAATAATGTATGCAACGACAGCTTTTCCGAATGGACCCTAGCGCGTCGAATAACACGCGATATTGACGCCTTTTCTGCCGAAAGCGAATAAAATCTTCGCCGATCGGTCTAAAAATTTTTTCTAAATCCGCTCAATATGCAATGAATACTTACGTAAGTGTCATTAAGAGAACAAGTCTCGAAATTTTACACAGAATATCTGCTTGTCTTATAGATTAACAAATGTAGATATACACTTTTCAATATTTTCTAGTGTCTTGAATCTTTCGACATTTCGCGCGTATAGCGGTCTCAGGATGTCTTTTGCTTGGTGTTATAAAGAAATAGAGATTTGTTTTTATTTTGATTGATTAATCTGCCGTTTTAAAGCGTTTGTAACGCAAATGAAACGTACTCTTAATAATCTTATGACGCGAGTTTACGCACATTTTCCATTTACTTCGACACTAATGCAAATTGACAGCGTCCAGTGCTCTCGAAAAATGTTATAATTTCGAAGCGCTACGAGGGTTCGCGGAATTTCTGTCGAGGGTCGGAATCGCTCGGCGAACGGATCACGCGTGATCTCTTGGCCGCGTCATGGCATTGGTTCATAGTGATCATTGGGGACGAAAATGCCTGTAGAAATGCCTGATAAATATTTTTTTTTCTTGGTTTAAGGTAAACGCGTGTCCCGATGTTCCCGCAATGTTCCTCTGGACCTTTGTCAAAAGAATCTACAACGAATATATGTAAATAACGAAAACTTAATAAAACTGATAACTATAAAACGACATTCTTTTCTAATGTCTCTTCATTCGATAATACTTATGATAAGCCTAGATATTACCTAGATTATAAGTAAACAATAGGTAAAACTAGGAACGCGTGCGGAACAGTGTCTCGAACACAGAAATAATCGATGTGAGCTGGCAAATTATCAAACGAGAGTCTTCTTTTTTTATTGAATTATATATATAATTCGTTTTTGGAAAATATGATATAATATAACAAGAAATATAATTAGACTGACATGACTTCTATATCAAACATTTTTCCGGCTCTATGATGTTGTGCATTTCGGATGAGAATAATATAGCTCTTTATTTACGCCACAAAATTGTCAATTGCTTCGCTTTCTCTTCTCGTCATCCTCGCAATTATATTTACACACGGATAATTCAGGTCGGTTCTTCTTCACTTCGTCAATTCGCTCGCTCCTTTCTCTGTTTTTCTTTATTTTTCCTCTCAAGTAAGATCATATCGTCTTAATGCCGTGTTCCGTGCGGCCGAATCGGTGAATATACTTGAAATATCCGTCCATTTTCGCAGGAGAAATATATATCTTATTTAATAAATATAAATTATATATCTCTTGTACACACGTCGTCGCATTGTACATACATGTTCGATAATGGATATTCGGACAAGCAACGAGTGACGTAATAAGCTATATCGCTTTCTATCGTATAGGATTAGCAAAATAGGAAAGAACGCAATCGCGGTAAGGTACGTCGCTAAGCATCGGAGGCACAGCCACTGGTTCATCCTTATAATACGTGATATATCACGGTATGCGCGCAAAAAAATACATGTCGATACACTCGCAACTTGTCCGTGTCATCCAGCTAACTTTGCACTTTCAAGATCGGTCTCGTCAATATCATTTAAAGCTAATAAATCTCTCTATATTTCTAATAGCAGCAGTTGACATCTAGAAACGGGAACCAGTTAAAATTTGCAACTGCAAAAATTTCATTGTGAAATGATGCCAATTATAATTCAACCCCAATTTGAACGGCGGATGAGAATAATATTAAGATTCCGTTCAGATGAGAATACGGAAATATTTTTGGATCCTGAATGAAAGATTGGCTACTCTTCTATATATAATTCTACGTAGAATATGGAACGGGAAAAATTGTGCAATTTATCAACGGATTCGCCAATTCATTCATCAGGATATTAACCGATTTGCCAATGCGACCGGTTCTTAAATGTCAAGCATATCCACCGTGTGGTTCTCGGACTCCGCTCGCTCTGAGATTTAAAGACAAGCAATTGTGGCAAAGATATGCTTAACGACAAGATACCTCGCTTTAACATTGATATAATTTTGCCTTCATATCGCTCTAGTGCACGCGTCTCGCATCCTTAGCGAGAAACAGCAAAACGTAGCATCTGGTGTTTCTCGCACGCTCTATCAATATGTACTATATACAACAAATGAAAAAACGAACAATTTTGTTTCGTAAATTATTACACAGAATAAGATATAATATTTAGCAATCGTTAAGGCTACGAATCGTTAAAGGGATGCTCAAATCAACAGAAGGAGTCCAGTAAACATGGTTAAAGAAAAAGAGAGATGACAATTCTCATATAAGAGAGTCGATGTTACAGTTTGCGTGTAAATCTCATTTCTTCTTATTTTAAATCGCGTCGTTCATTTTACTTCCCCTTCCCGTCTTGCGCCGATTTATTGCTCGCCGCTATCAATCGTCTTACGTCGCATTACAAAAATAGTAGGAAACGAATATGAGGTGTCTTGCAAGCTTACGACATTTATATTACCCGTTCTCTTTCGTCGTTTGTTCTCTTTAAGATTTTTCTTAAAAGCAAGTCACCCTCGATCGAGAAAAGTGACTGTTTCGGTATCTGTCTATTCATTTTTTTTTTCGTTCGGTCGTTAGAATGTACAGAGAGGGAATTACAAAATCAGTCGAGATTGATAATAATGAAAAATTCGTCACACTTTTGTCGTGCGCGTGATAATTCCTTCGACATTTTACCTTTTCATAATGAATTCGAAATAGCCGAAAATAGTCGCGAGTACATTAACACAATATTTAAACAATTAAATTAATAATTAAAAAAACGCAAAGATTTGCGCAGATTCGCTTTACATATTTAAGACTCTTTGTTTCTTGCATTACATGTTGAAATAAATTTAGTTTCTTCATGTTTGATAATATGGGTTGACAAAATATATCGAAAATCGCGTTTTATTATGCTGCATTAGTAAGCATACATATAATTCAATCTGCACATTAAAAATTTTCGTTTTCCAGTGAATATAATCTTGTGACAATCGATCAAGGTATGAAGTGGCTTATTAATTTACGAATCGAAAAAGAAAAATTTCGATATATTTCAATCTATAATAAACAATCAGTAAAAATATACAAATTTTTATCTATAGTATCATTATTCAATAATTGCAAAGGGAACCAAGAGCCTTAATATAAGCATAAATAAAAGATAACAATATGATGTAGATATAGTTTAAAAAGAATCCGTATGTATAATGCGATTCCGAATAGATGTATCGAATGTACGCTGTAAAGTATCGTAACCAAACGAAGAAATAAGTAAACACGATATCGTTCATCATTAGTTTACGTGAATTTTTGGTTCGTCTGTGTTTATTCGCAAAGAAGAAAAGCGGTGGCCTAACAAGTAACGTCCGCGCGATATTATATCACTGTGTACATCCGCATACCGCACTCTTGGATCTTTCTTTTTACTCCCCTTACCAAGCTTGTAGGAAATATTTGGTAAATCACATGAATCGATCATGTAGAAAATATATGAAAGTTGCCGCGAGGTGTCGGACGATACTTGATGGCGATTCAATGTCTGACGGTTCCGATAAGTTTTTTGTCTTCACTTTTATCATAATTATCGTTAAGAGATGCGTGAACTGCTTTTTTAAATAGGTACGATTAATCTTTTTTCTTCTTCTTTTGCTTTAATCACTACGACGACGTTAGGTACAGTTAAATACTATGGTTGTGCGCCCATCTCTTTATAATTGAAATCTGGAAACTATTTTTTTTTTTTTCGCTTAATATATGCTCAGGTCTCTTTCGTTTTTTTTAAGCTTATAACGAGATTAAAATCTTTGTCACACTTTCTCACGAGGAAAAAGTGGTGTTTCTTGCTGCTTTGTGTATCACCCGGCTAAAGATAGATAGATAGGTTCGCGCGTATGTATATATATCGCGATTATTTTTCGCTTATTTAAACTCTCATAAAAAGATAGGCACACCTTCACCTACGTTTCTGAAATACAATCACCGTAAGCGAAGCTTCTGGATGGATTCCACTTGGTTTTGTATCGCGGAGCAACGTGGACATTCCTCGCGGGTGTTCACGATCGTGATTCTACGCTACAAAATAACGACTAACGGTCGATTATTATTTTTTTTGCGGCCATTACTCTATCTTGCGAGAATTGTGTTTAATCCGCGTTTTATAAAGTAAAACGATACTGTGCGATAATATTCTAGTGACGCAAGATTTGTCCGCGCTGGTCCGCCTAATTTTCACAGACGGAAACGTTATTAATTATCGCGTGTCACCATCACCGCTGCCGGTATATTATATTATAATATAATGCAAGAAATGCACGTCTGTTACGTGATACTGAGAAAACAGAGAAGATGATTCCATGACATCCACGAAGTGTGCTTGCGCATATTGGAAGACGAATTATATTAGTATAAAAAACTCGATTTAATTGTACTAAAATTTCATGATGAGTAATAATTAAGAATGAGCTAAAATAATCTTATCGTTATATATCAAACGCAACAAATTAGGGGCAAATGAAAAAAAAATGGAATCATTTTGGTCGTCTTTTTCTGCAAGGACAACATAAATAGTGTTTTCAAGCGGTGATGGCTTCTCGCTGCTTAGCTACTACTCGAAACTAGACATAGAGACCATATGTGTACTGAATACGTTTACATATTTACTTAACTTAATCAGCGATGCTTTCACTGGTATAATTGTGAGTTATGATAATTGATTAGAAACATTTTTCTAGAGTTGAATATATAGAATATCGTGTAAAATATTAGATTCGCTCTTTTTTTGGATAGCTATTATTTCGTTTTCCTTGCGAAATCCATACATTCGTAGTTTTTGTAAAATAAAATAGAAATTCTTTTAAGGGAGATCCAAATATATTATAGAAATTATATATAAATATCCTGCGAAGACGTAGTGCGTAGTAAAAGTTCTCATTATTCACACGTACAATAGATACATGTCAGAGAGAAGCGTAAGGGATGGCATCGTCAACGCGCGAACAATTTTTAGAATTTTTGTCGATATTATGCTGAGGTAGCAAACAACTCGTTTTAAAAAAATAGACTCGGAGTGGGCAGCGACGCTAACGCAATATTCGTTGATCGATGCGATGGCAGCGCGTATCAAAAATTAGCAGATAATAGGTAGGTAATATAGATATTTCTTTTTTAGATTATTCGATTTTTTAATGTCGAGCCGAGACTCGTGTGCTTTGTAAACGTACTCAGTAAAGTATATCTTTTTCTCGTATATTAGCTTATTATATTCATCGTACGTATTCTCTCTTGACGGCCAGAAATCGTCGTGACAACCGCCTCGAAAAATTCGCGCGTTTATTTGACCTTAATAATGCTCCTTAAAAGTAAATCTCACATTCATATAGTATCTGTAAAACCGCAGTTAAAATATCTTCTAATATATATATACTATATATATGCTATATATATAGTATATATATATATATACATGTATAATAATATATATATATTGTAATAGTAATTAAAATTTTGTCCAGTAATTCTGTTCAGTGCACCATTGTTTTCCGCTCTTTTTTAACGTTTGGGCACGCGCATTACACGATGATTACATTTCGTTCTTTTTTCCCTTGTCTTGTGCTTTTGTCATGGTAATTCAGATTTACCCAGTGCAATTGAAAGTTCTTCGAATGATGTTTGAATTTCATCTTTTGTATGTTATCCAAAAAGAAAACAAACGCTCGCATTACAGTATACTATCTTCACCACTACTTTTGACTTAGGATACATGTATGCATACAATATATCCTAGTAACTCTTGACTCTCTTTAAATAATTTAGGGTAATAATTAATATGGTTTGTGTGTCTATATATTATTTCTGAATAATAAAGTAGATCACTAATCTCGGTTGTGTTGGATAATCAGGACTGTGACTCGCGTTATCAGGGATGGTATCCTACCGGTCCGTTTACTCAAAATTGTACGAGCTGGTTCCGTCGGGTAATTGTCACCTTTACCGTTCCTGGAAAGAAATGTTATTTTTGAAGAGTAAATCTCTACTTTCTTAGATATGTAATACAAGAATCGCGTTCTGATGCAAATAAACGGATGTTAAAACAAAGAGAAGACTTGTAGTAAATATGTTAACTCTAACTCATAAAAAGAAGCCTTTATAAGCTTATATAAAATAATTCATACAGTATCGCGCAAACTACAGTCGTATATAGTCATAGTCGACGTGAGAAAGAGTGAGAAGAACAATATGTTCTTCGACGTCAACTTGACAAAGTCGTTGATTATTTTATCTGTATCTTGTCGAGTGCGATAGTAAGCATAAAAAATGTTTCGTGTTAGCAGTATAGTATATTAAACTTGTGGAAAAGAAGATGTGCAAAGAATACATTCAGTGTCATCGTGATGAGAGATGTATCCGCGAGAAAACATTCCAGAATCGTATCTCTCCAATTTTCAAACTGATTACATTGAGAAAGATGTACTTTATATGAAAAAAAAAAGAACTCTCTCTCTCTGATATTATTATATATGAAAATTGGATAGAAACAGTTCTGTTAACATTCCCTTAGCAGATAAGAATATTATCCTGTGCGTGTTGCTGTTTAAGCATATAGTGCGATAATGAAATACATTTATATGTGTGCAATGAAAAGATATATTTGCTACTTTCTTCCATAAAATTTTACAGCCTATAGATAAACTTGTTTTTTGCCAAAATATTTTTATTTACAAAATAATAATTCAAAAAGACTATAATTAATAAAAATTATATATGTTTATATAAATAAATTAAATTTACGAAAGTAGGAATTACTTTTCAGTATATTATTGTACGAACCAAAAAACAAGTATCGAGAAAGATGAATCAACGCGTGAAGAAGCCCCTATGGTACAAAGAAGACACTGTGTTCTGTGTGTAGTATTTTATACTAAAGTTCTGTACCTTATATCATACTGTCTTCCACAGGTTTTGCTTTTAAGGGGAGACAAGAATGTGTCAAAATTGTGTTACACTTTATTCTTTATAAGCGAAATGAAAGCAGAAAATAACTAAATCTTAAGCGACATATTGAGCGAACATCGAATTTCTCTCTCTCTCTCTCTCTCTCTCTCTCTCTCTCTTTATGCTCTTTATTAATTTTTCATACCTTCTCTGATATCTTTGGGTACGTTTGACGAGAGTGATGGCATGGAAGGCGCCTGATAGAGATTGGGCCGTGCGCCGCTCGGTGGCAAAGACATTACTTTGGACCTGAATAGGTTTCACGAGCGCATAAATTTATCAGGAACCAGAAGAGGTGACGTTTATACACTGAGAGCAGAAGTAACGTAAGCTCCAAGACTACCTCTGTTTGCGAATTTTCTGATTTCTGCCATCGAAGGAAGTCGGCGTGCCGGCCCCCGAGGTGTTAGACGAATAAGAGGACGGCCTGTACGGTCGCGGGCAACCTTGAACAACAGGCGGTGATGATACTGGTGCATACTGCAACCGAGGGTTGGTTGGTACGCCAGGATGCATCAATCTCATATCCCCTGTAACATTTAAAGTTAATTAAACAATTTAAAAAAAAAAACGATTTGAAATGAATACACGCCGCGTTTAAAATTACCTTGCACGATATGGACACCCTGGTACATTGGCAGTGGGTAACGTGGTTGAGGTTGTGCGCTTCTGTCTCCGTTTCCACCTCCGAAGAACTCATGCGCCGGAGTTGGTGACCGACTAGCTCGTTGGGAATTACCTGGCGTTGTCGCTCGAACACCGGGAACGACCTTCGTTTCACAAAAACGTCTTTCATAAGAAAGAAAGTTCCATAGCAACTAGTGAATGAAATTGTCATTGTTACTGTGTATCATATTCTCACAGGAACGTTCTGTCTGAAGACGAGATTGGGAACCAGCGTGGGTGCCATGTATGCGCTAGGCGGCGCCGGGGACGTGCCGTTGTGAGCGACCTGGTGGCCAAATGTCCCACCGGACACCATCGTCGGGGCCGCATAACTACTTGAGTTGACGTACATCAACGGCATACCAGGTATCTATCAATTTTATCAAATAACATGTACTATGTTAAAACGGCTCTTTTTGTAGATCATCTTTTACTGTTGCGTTTAATATTAATATTAATAGTTGAGTGATTACTTGATTGGAAGTCGGCGTATTTGGTGGTGTAGGTACTCTGTACATTACGGGCGGCGGTTGCATTGCCGGCTGTCCTGGCGGATAATACGTAGGAACCATATGGACTGGAGGTTGATACGTATAGTCGCCCGGTGTTGGAGTTACTGCCGGCATCGAATTGTAAGGTACCGGGTAACTACTGCCCACGTAATTAGCTAAACAAAATACGTACATTAATTATATAAAATGAGAGAAACGGAGAGGGAGATGAAACAATCATAAATAGTGAAACATACAATTTGTTTGGCTCGGAGGCGTCATCGTTTGCGCATTGAAGGAATAATTCGTCGGAAACCTCTGTTGCTGATGTAGATGTTGCCTGTCTCCCGGATTCTGACCGACAGAGATGGCCGTTCCGGGTGGAGGCATAAAGTACATGGTCTGTTGAGGCTGAAAAGTTTCATATTTTGCCTATGTGAAACATAATAAAGATAACAACATAATGAAAGAATAAAAATTGTATAATATTCTCTAGTTTCGTACCGGTATTTGATTTGGCGATGGTTGCCAATAATTCGGCTGTACCGTTTGCACGTTCTGTACGGTCTGGTTCGTAGATGGCGGCGGTTGTGGATACGTAGAGTGCGGAGTTGTCGGATGACTGTCCCCGCTACCACGTTGATCGTAGATGTTCATCCCCAGGAAATATCCAGATAATTCGGTCACATCCTAGTTAATTATATTATTGTTGACTTCTTTGAGAAACGATTACGAAGAACTTTATTTATAAGCTTATTTATGATTATTTACATTATCATGAAGATAAAGATCATTTAGTCGATGTAAAGAGAATCTTGTATCTTTTTATGAGAATATCAAAGTCTTGTTAGATTTATCAGAGAGCAAATAGTCATTCATCAAATAATAATAGATGCTGGCGCATCGCACAATAATATTATCCGGCATGATAATATTTTCCGGCTATTTATCTCTTTAACCGATAAGTCCAACTTATTTATATTTGTGTTGAGAAATATTCTCAGCCTATATGTAATATTTAATTTTATTTACTAAAGACACACTTACTCCTGATCGCCCGTTTCTAATCAAGATGTTGACCGATAAATGTTCCTGTCAGGCGCCTAAATCAGGGACGAAGCCTAGATAAGGTACTGTCTTAAAATACAAGTTTCACTTCATATGTCTCATATGTTCAACACAAGATACATTTTATATGTTTCTCTTTTGGACCAAATGCCAATTTTTTTTCTATCGTAGCATATCACGTTAAGGTAGTTGACACATTCGTTGGTAGGGAAATTTTCCTTTCCCGTAAGTGTTGCCGCACGTAGACGGACGAGTATGTAAATGTCGCGTAAACATGTACACGTGTGTCTATTTATAGACGTGCTTTTATAAGCACGTGTTTGTTACATGTAAAAGAGAGAAACACGTCGTCTCACAGTCCGAGTTGCACGAGGTGCTGCTTCTCTGTTTAAATCGTGACAAAAAAAAAAAAAAAGAAACACAGAATGATGATATTTATTTTATAATTGAGCGAAAATAACTCGTTGCCGTAATATTTTTTTAAAAAGTCGCGCTCTGAGATTATTCTCTTTTTCCTTACATCTATAATACCAAATGATATTATCTCGACTTTTAATATTTTTAATTACTAAGATATTCAGAGCTTTTTTATATTTTGATGTAAAGTTAATTAAACAATTTAAAAAAAAAAACGATTTGAAATGAATACACGCCGCGTTTAAAATTACCTTGCACGATATGGACACCCTGGTACATTGGCAGTGGGTAACGTGGTTGAGGTTGTGCGCTTCTGTCTCCGTTTCCACCTCCGAAGAACTCATGCGCCGGAGTTGGTGACCGACTAGCTCGTTGGGAATTACCTGGCGTTGTCGCTCGAACACCGGGAACGACCTTCGTTTCACAAAAACGTCTTTCATAAGAAAGAAAGTTCCATAGCAACTAGTGAATGAAATTGTCATTGTTACTGTGTATCATATTCTCACAGGAACGTTCTGTCTGAAGACGAGATTGGGAACCAGCGTGGGTGCCATGTATGCGCTAGGCGGCGCCGGGGACGTGCCGTTGTGAGCGACCTGGTGGCCAAATGTCCCACCGGACACCATCGTCGGGGCCGCATAACTACTTGAGTTGACGTACATCAACGGCATACCAGGTATCTATCAATTTTATCAAATAACATGTACTATGTTAAAACGGCTCTTTTTGTAGATCATCTTTTACTGTTGCGTTTAATATTAATATTAATAGTTGAGTGATTACTTGATTGGAAGTCGGCGTATTTGGTGGTGTAGGTACTCTGTACATTACGGGCGGCGGTTGCATTGCCGGCTGTCCTGGCGGATAATACGTAGGAACCATATGGACTGGAGGTTGATACGTATAGTCGCCCGGTGTTGGAGTTACTGCCGGCATCGAATTGTAAGGTACCGGGTAACTACTGCCCACGTAATTAGCTAAACAAAATACGTACATTAATTATATAAAATGAGAGAAACGGAGAGGGAGATGAAACAATCATAAATAGTGAAACATACAATTTGTTTGGCTCGGAGGCGTCATCGTTTGCGCATTGAAGGAATAATTCGTCGGAAACCTCTGTTGCTGATGTAGATGTTGCCTGTCTCCCGGATTCTGACCGACAGAGATGGCCGTTCCGGGTGGAGGCATAAAGTACATGGTCTGTTGAGGCTGAAAAGTTTCATATTTTGCCTATGTGAAACATAATAAAGATAACAACATAATGAAAGAATAAAAATTGTATAATATTCTCTAGTTTCGTACCGGTATTTGATTTGGCGATGGTTGCCAATAATTCGGCTGTACCGTTTGCACGTTCTGTACGGTCTGGTTCGTAGATGGCGGCGGTTGTGGATACGTAGAGTGCGGAGTTGTCGGATGACTGTCCCCGCTACCACGTTGATCGTAGATGTTCATCCCCAGGAAATATCCAGATAATTCGGTCACATCCTAGTTAATTATATTATTGTTGACTTCTTTGAGAAACGATTACGAAGAACTTTATTTATAAGCTTATTTATGATTATTTACATTATCATGAAGATAAAGATCATTTAGTCGATGTAAAGAGAATCTTGTATCTTTTTATGAGAATATCAAAGTCTTGTTAGATTTATCAGAGAGCAAATAGTCATTCATCAAATAATAATAGATGCTGGCGCATCGCACAATAATATTATCCGGCATGATAATATTTTCCGGCTATTTATCTCTTTAACCGATAAGTCCAACTTATTTATATTTGTGTTGAGAAATATTCTCAGCCTATATGTAATATTTAATTTTATTTACTAAAGACACACTTACTCCTGATTGTGGTATTGGTCCTTGATGTACAGGTACCGCATAATTGGCATAAACTTGATTCTGATTGAAGACAACATCCCCTTGACCGCCGTTCTGCATGCTCGCTTGACCCTGAGTCGGATGAGGCGCCATCATCACAGTTGGTTGCCCCATGGGAGGCGGATAGACACCCTGGTTATACGGTTCTGAGGTAGGTATGTAGGTCGCGTACGATTGCTGAACTATTTGGTTAGTATGACTACACGTCTGCATTGTTGTTGACGATTTGACTAGACTTTGCTGCTGCGACTGTGATTGCTGCTGCTGCTGCTGCTGCTGCTGCTGCACTTGTTGCTGCTGTTGCGGAATGGGTGGGTTCTGCGGAGCAGGAGCAGGAACAGGAGGTGGAGGAGGAGGAGGAGGAGGAGGAGGAGGAGGCGGCGGTGGCGGCGGTGTAAACGGCAGGCTCGGCGACGTTGCTGTGTTCGTCACTTGGGTTCCAGATGTGTTAACGGTGTTCATCTTCGATTGCGATGAACGCTGTTGTTTCTTGAAGTCATTTTTGGAGTGGCCGTTCGGCGTTCTGGACGGCTCAGAGGATAGTTCCGCGTGCTGTTGCTTATTAGTCGCGGAGGACACCGTGTTATTCTCGTCCTCGATGGTATAAAACTTTGGTGGATTATCCGGATCGTAGCGATAAATCGAACCGTCCGGATTCGTGCACGGTTGATTGGTCTGTGGATTTATTATTATACTCCCGGGTGGCACGCTCGACAAACTACTGACTGCCCACATGACCGTCTGGCCGCCGTTCAACTCCGGCGAGCCTAGATCCTGACTAGATACTTGAGTATGGCTACACGTCATCATACCGGCTGGTACAGGAGAGGGCGACGGCGATGGCGATATCGTCGCATCGCTGCGCTGGCTTTGCGATTTATAGCCGCTGCTCGAGCGGCTTGGACTCAAACGTGAACACATACTGGCCCCTGAATCTAGATCACGAGTATTTACGATTACCACGTGACGATAGGATGATCATAGAGATAATGAAACAAGATATTGATAGGTAACATGGTTATATTAAAATCTTTATCGATGATTTTAATAGAAATTTACATGCAATTACCTTGCTTCATGAGGCGAGCTCCTGCGCTATGCGTGGACGTGACACTATCCCCTCTTGACAGCATACCTTTACTGTATCCACCGAAACTGAATGACTTAGAAACAGATGGACGCAATACCGCGCCGCGAAACGAATCTCTCCCATCGAAAGATTCGCCTTTTAGCAATCGATTATGCCTAAAGATGCATATAAATTATTTATATTCCAATGTGATAATCGTTGGTGAATTTTATAATCATTATTATGGAAATTAATTATTAAGTATGCAGATGAATGTAGAAATTGATTTACCTCATTATGTGATCTGAAGGATGTAGCAAGCGATACCTCGCCGAGACATCCGAACTCTCCGATGAGGACCATGGCCAAGATGTGACTTCGCTGCTCTCGCCACTACTGTCCTTGAATATCCTTCGCCTGGCGCGTTCGTACTCTTCCTCCCGCTCCTCGAAGCTTTTGCTGCGACGACAATAATCGCCCGACATTCGATCCGGCGATTTGAAATTAAAACTGTCTTCGAACGAGCTTGAGTCCCGCTTCAAAATACTTCTTCGCGGTTCTTCCGACAGGATCATATCGTCCCTGATGTGCTCTCTAAAGCGAGTGTCCGGTATTCGCATATTTTTCGTTCGCGTGACGATAACACTTAAACCCGACTGATCCACGTTATGTTCCATGCCAAAATAAGCTGCCACTCGATGCACAAGCATCCTATTATACGACGACATATTCGGGAATTTGTGAGAAACTTTCTGCCGGTCTCTCGCAAAGTCGATTAAATCCTTCTCAATCTTCAGCAGTACCGTGCGATCCTTTTGATTGCGATTTATGGTCTCCGCGATGAACTGTTCGAGATCTATCCCTGTGCTATCTGTATACAGTTCCGTGCTACTATCTGCAAATAAGTGTAAAACTTGTAATACGGGAAGTGATTAGGAGCCGAAGAGAATGGAGAAGAAGAAGCTTTGCACGTATTTATGTATTCTTTAAATAACGTACCGCGCGAGAGGCATGGTGACGCGCTGTCGTAACTGCCCTGAGAAGAATTCTGATGTCTTAACTTATGCCTGGATCCGGGCCTGCTCACCGACAGCATGTTGCCGCATTGCGCTGAGCATTGATTATTGCAGATGTTCAACGTATTCGGCCTGCGTTGCTCGGATTTGTGCTGATTATTTTGAGCGCTCGGGGCGAGATTTGTACTCTTCGGCGAGTGCTGCAACGCTTGACCGGACTTGGAGGGCGACACAGGGGTTTGCAGCAAACCCGGTCGCTCATTTTGATTGTTCTTCACGCAGTTATTGCATTTCTGAACGTTATTCGTGCTCGCGAACTTGGAGCGATGGTTCTCCAACTTATTGCCGTTAGTCGGAGAAGTGATGCTCTTTGGTGAGTGTATCTGAGAGGGACTAGATTGACCTGTGTAATGAAATTCAAAGATAAAGATTCTCAAATCTTTTTGATGTACAACGAAAAAGAAATTGCGCTTTAGTTTACCATTTCGCGACGGTGTCCGACAAGTGGGCGAGGTCGCCGTGTTGCGCATTTGCTTGGGGGATTGAGCGGGACCGAGATTGCTGTTGAACATGGACTCGTTATTATTGAGCTTGGCACCGTTGGAGTTGGGCGAGAGGCCGCACACGATCTTCTTCTCACCGTCCACCGATTGCGGACTGTGCGGCGACGGTGGACCGTTGCCGTGTGGCTCCCGCGGGGGAGACGTCGACTCTCTCATGGCATGGCTTCTGACCAACAGCTTCAGTTTCGTGTTTGTCTGCAAGAATCATTACATTTTCTTACGGCCGGCAAAGCGTATTGTCGCGCTCGCATATGTGATGACGCGCGCGGTACGTATCAATTCGTAAATGCAATACGTTAAACGATTATTTCGATATTGTATCACAGATTCGACCAGGGTGTCTATCCAAAGCTTGTACAAAGATTTCCTTAGAATTCTCTGATTCGTCAAGTAATTTGTTCAAAATTTCAGGTAAAATTAGAGAATTTTTAGATGAAACTTTTTAAAATAAGGTTTTTCTGTGCGTTTTCTAATGCCTTTCACACTCATAAAAAGGAAGATTAAACCATTTAAATTTTAAATATTAAATTTAAAAATGTGCTGAAAAGAACTGAATGACTATTGTAAGATAAGCATTTTTCATTTGCATAATATTTTCATTTTCTATCGTTAATTGTAAGAATTACGATAAAAAATGTATACTCAGTATTTTTTGCTATGATAATGAACATATCAAAGAGAGAAAGATATATTTATAATATATTTGTGAAACATATTCACAATCATTGGCCAATCAAATTGCCAATGCTTGCAATATAAGAACAAAATGATCAAAGAGAGAATTTTTGAAAAAATTCCCTGAGTTCGAATAAAATTCCATGAGAATTCCTTGATTTTTCAAGATAAAAACGTAAAATCCCTGAGAATTGCAGGTTTTCTAGGTTTTTCCAGGGAGTAGACCCCCTGTCAATATAAGTAAAAAAAAAAAAAAAAAATCCTTGATACAATTTCAAATTTTCCTTTACCTATAGCTCTTCTGAACTAATTTTTTATTTAATGACTTCTTCCAGACGTACCTTGAAGCCCGTAATGAGGAAGGACGAGCAAAATGTGGGGCAATAATCTAGCAGCGATTAATGGCACACGCACCCGATTGCGAAAGTTTTTGCTCTCGGTGTCCGATTTATCCGGCGGCGGACAGGAAGGCGGGGAACGGTGGAACGTGTTCGTTGCCGAGGAGGTGCCGACGTTGGCATTCCCGTCTATCATATCCGACTCCAATTCGTCTTGGTGAAGCGCACCACCGCCGGAGCCACCACTTATGGCGAGGCCTTGCCTGGAGGATGGCAGTGAGGGCATTCCTCCTCGCACCACCACCGTGGGACTCTCAGGTCGATCCTGCGACCTGCTTCCTTTATACACCACTATGCTTGGTACTGGAATCATCGAGTGCGTAAATCGCAATCACATTACTCTCTCATCTGATAAGAAAATATTACATATTATTATTATATATTATTTGCAACTAAATCTTACATGTCAAAATTTTTTTAATTTTGGAAAGTAGAATCTGTGGACGTAAAATATCGTCTACTGAAGCTTAATCTTTAATTATTTGAAAACTATAAGTGCCTTGTCGAGGAAAGATCGATTCCAAATCGATCGGCTGAGAAATCTGTGATGAAAGGGACATCCGGCAGCCTTGAAAAATCAGTCTGCATATATTTTATTTGTCTCTTATTTATCATTTGTTACTTTGAATCTTATTCCTTTAATAAATAATTATTTATCAATGCATTTCCAACCGAGCAAATGCAAGATAAGTAATTTACTTGTCCTACTATGAAGTGACTATCGCGTACGAGTAGTGGCAACCGGTAATATTTCTATAACACAAGTATTTTCTTCATCGATATTGGTAAACAAAGAAGTTCGTTCATCGATACATCGTCTTATATCGACAAACGACCCGCCTCACTATCAGAGGATACTTCCGTAAACTCGGAAGTATCGATGCACCCGATACGCGATCTCCGATCGTTTCACTTTTTTCTGTATCGATGGGCGCGTGTTCAGCCATACTTGTATGTGTGTGTATGTATGTATGCGATAAATTACGATACCGCGACGAGGTTGACGAGGAAAAACTCGCAAAAATTGCGGGCAGAGTGAAAAAGGCACTTACTCTCCAGGCGAGCCATGTGTTAAATGCGTCATGGGGTTACGGGGTGCAGTACTCTGCAACTGGTGGGGGGTTCAACACGCAGGTGCAATTAGTAGTTAGTACGTGAATCTTTCGGGTGGCGTGCAGCTCGAAGGGCTGATACTAGGAGCCAGATCACTGCACGTCCACCTTCCGACATTGTACACTCTGTAAGCAGACACAACACGCTCGTGATGATCTCGTGCAAAAAAAAAAAAAAAAAAAAAAAAAAAAAAAAAAAAAAAAAAATAAAATCATAATGAAGAAAGCACTTGTAAAGATTGAAGAGCAGTATATAATCTCAAAAAGTACAATTTTCGATGCTGAATCATTAAATCCAATGAAATCTACGGTTCGAAAGAAATTATAAATTCTACAACCAAAAAACAGAAAACAGAAAAGATCATTTCCACCAATAATATCTGCTTGGAAAAGGCATAAAGAAAAGGGATTCTCAATATTCTCGTTATGAAAATATGCATAGAGAGATCCCTGTCGCTACAGCATCGAGATTCGAACTCACCGATATCATTATACCGCTCCTGACTTTTTGTAATCATCCGATGGTTACATCTCCCCTTGACGGGATTTACGCCACGTTTACGAGACGATTTCGGCATTCGTCGAGGCGTTCCTATGGATCCTCCTTGGTAGTTGGCTGTATCTGGTGTACTACGCTGGGCAAATGATGATGATGATGGTGCTCCGGTCGCCTGGAGAGACCCAGCAGTGGCGGCAGCAGCGGCAGGGGCAGAGGCAGGGGCAGACCGCCGGGAAAACCGGCGAGACCGCCGAGGAGGGCCGAGGCGGTTGAATGTTCCTGAGCTTTTCTTCGCAACTCGGCCAGGCTGTTGCTCCGATGGAGATCACTGCCGGTGCCGGCGGTGCCTGGTTTGCAGCAACCGCAGATAGAACCGGGCCAACCGGTCGGCGACCAAGACAGCATCTCCTGGAGGCTACTCGGCCGATGCTGGTCGCTGGTGGTCCACAGAGACGGCGTCGAAAAAAAAAAAAAAGAAAGAAAGAGAAGAATGTAAAACACGCGCGCGCGCTCACGAGAATTTATACAAATAATAAAAAGAGAGATATTGTATAAACCTATACTAGCTTGCGTGATTGCAATGAATTTAATGATTCGTTTAATCGATTCATTCATAGAATTTAACATATCGCGTAGATTTAACAGCATGACAATATGTCATATGTTTATCGTACAATCTTTGCACAAGATATAGTCACGCTATTCTTAAATAAATTCGTATTATTACTATTAGTATAACAATCACGCGTTAGTTGATGCAAAGACAAGAAATTAAATGTAACTATACTGTTATTTTATGAAAGAGACATCACACAAAGAAAAAATTGTTTCTTATCAATTATAACAGAAGCTACATTGTGTTATCGTATCTTTATGTAAAGTTTCCGATAATTATTACGTAGCAAAGGTGAGCTATGAATCATGAGCTTCTCTATAGGTCAGCGTTACGCCATGAGTCATTTGTTCGCGGGACGCCGTTCGATTATTAAATGATGGAGTTACTTTACAAGCGCACATGACAATTGTACGGTTGAAAGGTATTATCGACGGTGCATTATTATGCGTCAGGCGTAACGAAAATTATTAGCGGAGTGCAGTATCATCATGTGATGTTTTAATAGCATTACGAAATCGTTACACACGTAATCATCGCGTAAGCGAACAAATTTAATATATTTGAGCATAATTAATTAACACTTCCTGATACGCGATGTTTCCCTTAATCATTGAAAGAGTTTAATAATTCGACCGAGCGCGAATATTTCAATATTTGAAAAATTTACTCGATCGCCAATATATGATAATTATGTTACATATAATATAAAGCGATAAATTATTCCGCGTGGATAAAATGATTCTATATAAATTTTAATAATACGAGTCATACCAGCATCAGCATGCTAACACAGTGAAAGGCATTAATTTTTGTACAATGTTATCTAATGCTTCCAGCAAAATTTAGTAAATTAATTGCCGTAGCACTACATTCTCATAACAATAAACATTAATAAACTAACGGAAATTTTCCATCTCCTTTGTGCTCCGAAAGACTAATCAAATTATAATTAAATTATAAGTTTATAAAAACAAATCGAGTTACTCAAAGATTACGATGAAAAGGCAAAAATAATATATAATAATCAGTTTCGCAAATCACAGATAAATAAGCAAGGTGAAGATGATTTTCTCTCTCTCTCTCTCTCTCTTTCTGTCCAAACAAACCTCCAGTTAAGTTCGGTAGTCTCCATAGCAGTTAATTGTGAAAGCGCGCGAATCATCGCGTTAAATTTATATCGGAAATGCAACTGCGGTGCGTGTACACTCTTCCTCGTCGCTTCTGCCGCATTCCTCTCGCGACGCGGATAAATTTATCCTCCATTCTCGCCCGCGACGTGTCGATCACGAGCCGCTCTCGATCGCAGTCGATCAGTCGCACGTCACATTTCCCTGTTCTTTTTCTTCTTGCTCCCTCTCTCTTTCTGTCTCCCCAGTCTCTCTCTCTCTCTCTCTTTCTCTATTTTTATTTCTTCTACGTCCTTGTACTCGACGTTTCCTGCGTACTCAATGGTTATCAATCGGCATGCACATCGTTCATCTATTCCCGTCTCGTCTTCATTCAGCTGAACTTTTATGCTTGTTCCCTACTGATCGAATTATGATGATCGACTCGATCACGTCTCAAAATTTTTTTTTTATGTGATTTTACGAGATAACTCCTCGCACTTGCACTAATAATTAATCGAGTTAATCAACGCGAAATTGATTTCATTATTAATTCGAATCGTGTTTATCGATGCGATTGATTCGTCTCGTTCTTTCATCGATTCCCTTCTGCCTCTCGATATTCGGTCTTATCTCATGTGCGGAAAGTGATTTTATGAAGCACTATCGCACCAGCCGCGTGCGTTTTACAGCCGATAAACGCGGTTGGCCTCGTAAAGGCAACACGATCGGAGCTATTCGTCGATCAGAGCACGGCTCGATCTACGGAGGTGTGGATTTTCTTCTTCATTTTTTCCCCCTCGTTGGTTGTCCGACTATTAACCGCGGAAATCCCCGTGGGTCGCGTCTCGCTCGTAAAAGCGCTCGTAAGGTATCGTCGTTCGACCTTTGTGCCACGAGCGGGAAATATGATGAACACCGAAAATCTCCACCAGAGAGGTATAAGCCGACGATAGTTACGTTATGGTAAAAAATGTAAACGTGGTGGCTGTTTCGAGATTATGATCGGGCATCCAATTTTCTCTGACGGTTCTATCGCCTCTTCTATCATTTCAAATGACAGAACTTTATTCGGGGGACAAGATTAATTAATCATCTGATCTAGTCCTAATTTAAACGGCACTAGAATTATCGACAAGTCAATCCCGGACTCCGGGATTATCACAACGTTCTAATCTCCTGATCGGCGATCACAGCATCTCGCGGGATATTCGTCATTCGGAAAAGTTATATCGATATCAGAAAATCGATGACAGAAAAATTATATCGATACCAAATTTCTGGTATAAAATTTTGGTATATACGGTGAATCGACGAGTTATATCATTCCCAGATGTTACATTCGGAAAGATCGAGATCGCGCACCTCGGCGAAATCTTCTCCGGTCGATCGGCGATCTCTCAAGGATCAATCGAGCGGAAATGCGGATCACCGCGTGACTTTTCGGTCGCGATTCTCGTTGCTGCTGGTTCCTCGCGGGCTCGAAAAGGCGGCACACGCTTTGGCAAGGTTCCGCGGTGTCTCGAAAATAGCAGAACACTTCTGCTTCTCTCTCCCTCTCGCTCCGACCGATCGCGTTCCTCGCGCGCGCGAAGTCCGATGTACTGCCACGTTTCTCTTCTTTTGCGTATCTCTCTTGTGCGTTCTACAAGCTCGCTCGAGATCAAAGAGAGAGAGAGAAAGAGGAGAGAAAGAAAGGAGACGCGATTCCCGAAAGAAACAACAAACAATGGAGGAGAGACAGAAATGGAAGGTGCGAACGAGCGCGATTCGACGATGCGAGGAAAGAGAAGAACCTGGACCAGCCGCAATATCTATCAAGTGTAATACCGCGTCGCCGCGGGACCGCTTTGCGCGAGAGACTGAGAGGCGCGCGCGATGCGCGGCTCACCCGGGTCGACCAAGAGCGGCGAGGGGGTGGGTGGCACGTCAGAGAGAACGAGAATATCGCAAAACCAGCGAGAGTGATAGAGAGAGAGAGAGAGAGAGAGAGAGAGAGAGAGAGAAAGAGAGAGAGAGAGAGAGAGAAAGAGAGAGAGAGGTGACGTACGAGTTGGTAGTGAGAAGGAGAGAAGGAAGATCATCTGTTCTTCTCCCTCTCTCTCTCTATTTCGATAGAGGCAGAATCATGACGAGAACGATAAAGATAGGAGAGATCCGATAACAGAAGTAGCGACGAGGAAGCGAAAACAAAGACATCGCCATTGCCAATAGATGTCAGAGAAAAAGAGATGCAAGGGAAAGATGGAGCGATCGGAAGGAGATGGCCAAGCGCGGGAAATAGTAACGGAGAGATAGAGATAGGCGATAAGTGCGGGACGGTGACGAAGATAAGAAAGAGAGAGAGAAGGAGCGACAAAGGGACGTATGTCGGCCGAATGCACGCGTGCGCGTGTGTACCCGGTGTATATCGAAGGAGACTCTGTTGGTCTAGAAAAGGACCGCGTGGGGTGAATTTTCGTTCCCCTGGCAATCAGTTCGACGAAATGTAAATGTCTGCCCTATAGACGCTATTACTACTCATTAAACGAATTTGTCAAGTTATGATGCGAAAAGACAGAGGGATTTGAATTTTGCCCCAACATATAATAATAAAATGAAGCTAAATTTTGATGATCTTTTTATTAAATGGGTTTCATTATCTTGATGGGATAATTTTAGAAAAGACGAGACGACTATAATTTGATCAAATTATATGTAATCAATTATTTCTAGAAAATCGAACGACTATTGTCTAGTAAATAATAAAAATATTTTGGAGGGAGAAATATGTGTGTGTGTGTGTAGCTTGTAATATAAAAATATGTTTGTTTTGAGAACCGTAATTACCAACGAACATCCAATCTAATTCCATGTCACAATCAATTTTCTCGCCACAGGGAAGATTGATATAATTTCTATGTAAAAGAAAAGAAAACAAATTTTTACATTCAAGAATAAATATCATTCCGTTTGCGTGCAAATTTTAATTTTACATGCAAATAAAAAAAAAAGACATGTTATGCACACACTCATATATTATCAATATTTTTTGTTTACAAAATCTATTTCCCAAGAGAAACGATATATCTTTTTAGATATCTTGGTGAAGCATCTTAATCGCGAAAACGGCGAAAGCAGAATGACAAAATATCCTCGTCCCACATTCGTGAATTACTAGTCCCGTGAACCAATGCAGTCGGCACGCGTGATCGTGTGCGCGCGCACGTGCAGCCGAGTGCGAATGTTTTCTATGACCCATATAACACGCCCAACCGTAACTAGGTCGTGCACCCCTGTATTCCCTGGAATAATACTGGGTGTCTTGTTCGAAAAAAAAAAAATATGCCAGATATCGATTCAGAAAATGTACGAGTAGCACGACGCATAAAATCACATCGCGTTTGTTTAACTTATATATCTGATGAGCAAAAAACACTTTACGCGCGAATAATAATAATGAGAGAATTGAAATAGCATCAAATAAAACTAATACACACAGTATAAAACATTAGATTATTTAGATTAATTAAACACTGATAAAGAAAATATTAAGATTGATAAGCAAAATATGCAAAGCTAAGGAATTTCAAGATAGATCGACCGGACAAACGATCGATAAAATTATGAGCAATGCTGAAACTGTCATATATCGATCATCATCGATGCTGTAAGGGATATAAAGAACATATTGTCTTACGGGA